CTTCCTTCCTTCCTTCCTTTGCTTTTTTACTTGTACTTCCTTTTCTCTCTCTGCCCTTATCAAAAGTAATGCTCATCATCAAATCTAATTTATTTATTTCTTTTCTTCTCTTAGGTGTCCAAAAAGCTTGAAGACATCAGAACACGATTCGCATTTTAGTTTCCAGACCACCATGCATCCAATCATCCATAGTACCCTTAACTGGGAACCCTGTGATTTTTGAGAGTTTGACAGTTGTGCCATCCACAGGAAGACCGCTTATAGAAAAAAGCTTTTCGTTTTATTATATGGTTTACTCCAAATATAAACACTACACCCTTCGTGCACCTATCCTGATACTAAATGAACAAATGCAACCCTTTCTGTAGTCACTACCAGCTTGACCATTGACCTTTCTTTGCTAACCACTTATAATAGGCCCAAACAACGCATGCAAAGAAAAGTATTCGAGTATTAATTTATAGATACGACTCATCGCTCCCCAACCGCGCTGCGGAAAGACGTTCAGACGCTGTATTAAACTAGTGATCTTTACATCTTCATGTTATATCGAATGACATTTTTTTCATAGTCATGTCATTATGCCTGTGTTTCACTCTCACGACTGTCTTTTTGTATAATAAAGATCGTATCATTTTCGTGCTGTCATGTCTTGAGGGTTTTATATTGGAACGTTCGCTTGTTTACCGCCGCCCTTCACATTTCATCGACTACTGACAACCTTTGGGCCGATCTTGGACATTGCTGTATCTCACGGTACGATTTAGAATACTTCGAGTTCAAATAACCGCTGTGTTCCTTGATTACAGACCCATTTACTCAGCCTCATCAGTGTCTAAATATTCACGAATACCAACGGTAAAGTAAAGAATGCACAACTTCAACAATACAAACGCTTTGAAATTCCACGGACATTGACTGGAACACATAAATGTTGTGCCCAAATACGAGGCTAGAGAACTGGAAACTCGTAAAGAAATGTACTATTGTCCTATTAAAAAAAACAACCAAATAATTCCGCTCTGGTTTTCCTATCACACAAGAAAACCAGAGAACACGGAGATGAACCCTTAAATCAAGGAAGAAAGCAAAAAAGAAACTATAACGTGATTTCGAGTACAGGAATCGAACCGGAGACCTCRGAAATGAGATGACTTGCCAAATTATAAAATGCGATTTTTTTCTTCAACATATCCGTTTTCGGCGCCTTGGGAACTTGAACTTAACGAAAGTTCCACAGCCTAGGGGCGGTGGGTGGGAGCTATAAATAAAGCAGTCCATCTAAGTCGTGCATGAACCGTGAAGGGTATCATTTGTTTGGTTCAAAAAGGGCTTTTATATAAATTTTTTTCTCAAACGACTTTCGAATTTTCTTGTCAAAACAATTGCATAAAATTGAATCATATTTTGTCATCCTTCCAATACACCGAGAAAAATTAATTGGATCTATTCTCGTTGAGGGAGACTGTGGAAGCGCTGGGAATGTGGGGGGGGGGGGGGGAGGTTTTACCAGTCGCGTTTACTTACACATCCCCTACTCGTTCCCATCTTCACGTTTACTTTGCTTAACCATCCCCTACTCGTTCTCATCTTTTTATCTTTTTTCTCCATTCCCTCTTATTCTCTACCTTCACTCCCATATTTGCCTCGATAGATAGATGGATAAATAGATAGATAACTTTTATTTATCCACGGTAGATCCTTCAGGAGAAATTACATCATCACTAATTAATTACAATTATATCAAAGAATATAGAGTGCAAACAATAGTGACCACAGTAAACCCGTGAAACTTTAGTAATACTAAATAGCACAATTTCATGCAAATTCCATTGTTTTCTATTGTTTAATTAGCACTATTTTGTACTATTTAGTAATTAGTGTTTCACKGATTAATTGTTTTCACTCTAGTTATAGACTGTTCCAGAGAAAGCCACCACTATAACAGAAGCTTTTTTTAAAGCAATTCGTCCGTGGCAGGGGCAAACTACCTTACGTTCTGTGTTTCTTAAATCGTGTTTGTTTACCTTGCTACGCATCAACAAATTTTGAGGAAAGATAATCTGGAGCCAGGTTATTTAAAGTTTTGAACATCATTAGTGATTTGGCAAAGGCCTTTTGTTGTTGTAAGGGTACCCAGCCTAAACTACGAAATATATCATTCGTTCGTGCATCATAATTTGAGAAGGTTATGATCCGCGCAGCATGATTTGAAGGTTCTGTAATTTATCTGCGAGACCTTTGTTGCATCCATCCCATACTGCGCTGCAATAATCAAAATGCGGTCTTGGAAGATGCTAAAACACTCTTGGAGCCAGGCACATCTTTCAATACCTTCCCAGCAAGAGCTCTTGAGTATCAAGAAATTCTTGATTTTCCCAGACCCCTCACGGTAATCGTTCGAAGGCATTATTGTCGAAGAATTTCGAGTCTCGCAGGAGTCAACAAATCGCGCTAAGACGACATCCAGATCCAGGGAACGATCGACCGACCGATTGGAAGGCGCCAAATTTAACGTGACAGACTAAAGTATCAAGTATGTGAGTGTCTTTTATTATTTATAGTTAAGCAAAATATTTTCGTGAGCGTTTCTTGAGTCACACGTGCAAGTAAGTCGTATTTGGTTTATTGTTATTAATCGCGTAGTAACCCATTAAATCATACAAAGCTAGTCCATTTATCTGCATCAGATGACAAGGATTGCAAAGTCTTTGGTCAGGCTTTAGAGTCTGACTTCGAGAAAAGGCAAATATATATCGGCTTTACAGCATCTTGAACAACCATCGAATGCGTCATTAATGCTTTCGCTTTTTTTCCCTCCATACGTACATTTAAACTCTAAAAACTAGTGTATTTTTGCTAACTTAATAATAAATGATAATAATAACAACTTAGGTTTAAATTCTCTTCACTGCAAAAACAAAAATATTCGAAATTAATATTGCTGAATAATGGTCATAAGCAAAAGAGAGCGCATGCTGATCGCGGTATTGAAAGACCTACGCCATGGAGTACAGCGATTACGTATACAATTCGTACTCCATAAAAGATCGTTGAAAGATAAAGACAAAAGAGAACGCACTTTACTTTACGTTGATTAGACTTATGTCTACTATTTGGAGTGGTTTTACAACTATTATCAGGTGTCACCAAAAGCAATGTTTCTCATAAATAATGCGCATATATGACAAGTTAGATATTTATTATTTGATACAGAACTGGGGCTTCCGTTCAAAACTGCTTATGACCTTTCATCGCTTAAGTATGAGTTTTTTAAGAAGGATCTTACGTAGGCGTAATCGGACACGGAACCCGGGGCACGTAAGAGAACACTGACTGAAAACATGGTTCAAGCAGCCTCGCATAGAGTGCTTTTGCGGCTTGTAAAAGCACTGAAATATTTTCCTGCAATATCTAGGTTATTAGATTTTTAACGACATGTATCTGCCCAATTATTAATTATTAAATAACAGTGGTACCTCTGTCAAGAGTAGTCACGGACACACTAGTAGATTGGGACCTTGTCTGGTGTCTTCTTAATAGTTAACCTTCAATTGTTGAACTCTAAAAATTGGCGTCTAAGAAAACTGAATTAAAGTTCGAACCTCAGAGAAAGTTTGATTCAAATGCTATAACCGTTGTGTTGAATCCGAACCTGGAGCAAATAAACAGTCATTTTTGTAATAAATTAGAATATATATATCATGCATGCTACACGTGCTTCTAGTGGTCTGTCTATCGTACTATGCATGCTACACATGTTTCTATTGGTCTGTCTATCGTACTATGCATGTTACACATGTTTCTAGTGGTCTGTCTATCGTACTATGCATGCTACACATGTTTCTAGTGGTCTGTCTATCGTACTATGCATGCTACACGTTTCTAGTGGTCTGTCTATCGTACTATCATGCATATGCTACACTTTGTAGCGCTATTTTTCATAGTTTTTGCTTTTTGAGCTGTTTTCCTAGCACAATATACCAAGAACAACATTTCAAAATAGCTTTGCAAAATTTTTAGATTTCATCTAAAAAAGTTCATAACATCCCTCGATGAAAGGTGTATACACTCCAGAAACCTTCGTAACTAGGATAAAACATGACAAAGAACTTGCCGATTACGACTGTGATGTTTATTTATTTAGTTATTAATGTTTTAGTTGTATCCCTTACTTCGTAATGTGTGGTCACTTGAGCGGTGTATCGTTTACTAGTAAGCGGGAATACGAATAATACAAACAAAAAATGGCAGTCTTCAAGGTAAGTTTGAAGTGATCAAATTTTCAATTCAATCAGCGAGTGTTTTGGAATCTCATGATAAACACATCGAAGATAAATATGAGCACAGACTACTACAATATGCGTTAGTACTTCATCTAATCCATTAGAATCACGACCCTTGTTTTTCAAATTTAAATCGAATTGCGTTCACCTTATTCGCTACAGTTCAGCCTTATTTTCATAAACAATGCTCTCTCAAATGACTAAAGGAACAGAACAAAACAAGTTTGCAAAACTAAGGCTCGCAGTATATTTCATTTGCACTTATGCATCAAATCCGTAAAAACGTTTAACACTACTACACGTCAATTAGATTTAACGACTTTCTATTAATACCTTAATGTTTAACTAACGAGCGCCTAAAACGTCTCAGTCCGAGTTTTTATTTGGCACGGTCTAGAACATGGACTGGACTGGACCCGGGAAAACATGGATTGGACGTAGAAAACATGGACCGTGGTAGAAAATATGGACTCGTTGTCAGAAGCATCTGGATACCTTATCTGTATGTCACAATTACGATCATCATCTTATTCTATCATATATACACTCCTTTCTACCACTTCTTTCTCTTTTACTCCGACGAAGGACTAGCGTCCGAAACGTCAGTAAGTTTTTTNTTTTTTCATCTTTTCACGGTGTATAATTTACCTTTTCATCATTACGATCATCATAATGTAGCAATTTTTTTCTTCTTAGATACATTTCATACGCAAAACTATTCGTGCCGGTTATTGATTCTAGTATTCTATATTTTCTACCACGGTCCATGTTTTCTACGTCCGGTCCGTGTTTTCTCGGGTCCAGTCCAGTCCATGTTTTAGACCATGCTCCTTTTGTCTTCAAACACTGACTGCTTGACTTAAGGTGGCTGGACCCCCTCATGCTTGACCGCTATCTTTCACTTTTGGAACGCTGGTGCATAAACGTGTTTTATCCGATTGCAAATCTTTTTTGCACATAAGTCACATAAAGATTGGATTAATGTTTGATGCAGTTTTTAGTGAGATCGGACGTTATAACACGTGATTATGATGAAATATTTGTTTTCGTTTAGAAAATAATTTTAGCCTTGCAGAGCGTTCAACACTAAAATGCTTCGTACCACATAATTATATACTGGATGCCTCCATTTGTGGGGATTTTTGAAAAAATCTATCTAGCTAATTATGAGATATTTGAGATTATTTAAATATAGTGCATAATCTACTTCAAAACTAAAAAATGGATTTCATACGGCCGAAATTAATATTTCAGAGCTATATATTCACAAAAGTTATTGCTCGTTTAGTTTTACTCTGTATCTAGTTTTAAAAGGAACATTTTGAAAGTAATCGACTTATGCGGTTTTGTGAAAACGTATAGTGCAGTAGACGGGATAAACATTTGATGCGCACTTTTCATCGCAGACGTTTTCTAGTCAATCTTACTAGATCTTCCATTATTCTAAAAWTCGCTGATCATTTCTCTCAAAACTACGTCAGGATACAAGATAGAACTTAAAATAATATTACACAAAATTGCAAGACTATTGAACTCATTTAAAGCTGTCTAAAGCGAACGAGAAATAACGAAAACATTGATCGTTTCCTAACGATTTGATGCTCTGGGAATTCTATTGTTTGCTAATGACCATAACACCAAATTCTTTCGCACCATGCACGGTCTGATCTCGCTTGGCCGCTTTCCGATTTACTTCCGAAGCATGGTAATACACAGTTGTGACAAACGTCCCACGTTTGAATAAAAAAACTGTGTATTACCGAGATATTAGCGAGATCAGACCAATGAAACGATCAATGTTTTCTGTATTTCTCATTCGCTTTAGATCGCTTTAAATGAGTTCAATAGTCTTGCAATTTTGTGTAATATTAGTTTAAGTTC